GGGGGGCGGTGCCCGGGGGGGTTTCCCTGTGGGGCGGTGCCGGTGCCGACCTCAGCCCCCCAGAGAGGGGCCCCGCCGCCCCTGCTGAGAGCAGCGCCAGGTGGCCCCGCCGGTGGCGCCAACTGCGGCTGAGAGTGCGTTCCCGAACAACAGCCCTGCCTTTTCATGGAGGCGCGGTGCCCCTGGGTGTGGTTGTAGCGTTTGATTCTGAAGTGAGGCAGTTAACGGGAGGGCACTTTCTGCCGAGGTCTGCGCGGTGGAGCCAGGCTGCTGTCGGGGCCTGAAGGGCCTGTCGAGGGGCCCAGCAATGGAGCCGAGTTCTTGGGTCTCTGACACGCTCAGTTTCCAGCTCCACCTGCTCCAGAGATGGAAAATGGGAGTTTTAAGCCCAGCTGGAAATTTCTGACGGATACCTACCTGCAGCTGACCACTCCAAGGAGGAAACTTAAGTAAAAAATAACTCATTCTGTAAAGATTTTTTCTTAAGAGAATTCATTACTGTACAAAGGAAAGTGAATCAGACATTAAAAAGGTGCAGCCTCTCATTTATAACTCCTTTCACTGAATGTCTGTAAGTCTGGAAGAACTGACCACTCTTACAGCCTTATCACTCTTCTGTAGAGATTTCAAGATCAGATTCATCAACTAAACCAAGAGACCTAATGAATCTTAGTAGGATTAGCTGTCAAGCAAGCTGTGCTGTCATCGTACAGCTCCACGTTCTTCTTTAATGATTTTGTTTGTGCTTGTTTTGGTTTGGTTTTTGTGCTGGGTTTTTTGGGATTTTTTTTGTTTTGTTTTGTTAATTTCAAAGAACTTGGAAGTGCAGGCGTAAGTAAACACTACACATACTTTTTTTGGTGTCCTCTGCCATACAGGCAAATACAGGCCGTCACTGTCAACTACTCTCCTACTGTCACACTTCTGCAATTTAGTGTGAGATCCCTGAAACTGAGGATGTGAGGGTGTTTCTCTGTTTTGCTTTAGGTTTTTTGGTAGTCTTTTTCTCAACAACAATAATATCTGGAAGCCAACAGAGGATTTTACTTAAAACATTGTGAAATTAAGTAGGTCAATGCAAAGGTGTAATTTCTACTACCATTCTTTTTTTAAAATGGGGTGGGTGGAAGAAGTTTTAATTCCATATCTTTTATTTGGAAATAAGAATGAAAGAAACTGACTCGTCACTTGGAAGGTCTTAGGGTTAATGTAACAAATCAAATGTTTGGGATTTTTGCAAATGAGGAATCAGTTTCTTATAACTGCTCAGTAATTGATTACAGTAACCATCGGCAATAATTGAAGGGCTTTATTGAATGAGGGGTACAGCAGATGAATGTAATATGCTGGTTGGTGGTGAATCTGTGATGCTGACAAGCTAGGTGGATAGGAAATTATTGGTTTATTATGACTACGATGTACTGTTTTGAAAAAATAATGTAGCTTTTACTGTCAGCAGCAGTAGAAACTTTCTTACGGGGAAATAGAGTTGCTTCTTTGAGATTGACTATAATAAAGTCAATAATGCTGCTGTTAGTCAGCAGGTGGTAGCAGATACGTATTACCTGATCTTTAGTGTGGTATAGGTTATCTTCCATGGAGAATGAAATGTGAAACAGCAGATACTTAAAAGTTAACAGGTACATTGTTCTTTCGTCGGAAAAAAAGCTGCATATTTTTCCTTTTACACCTTCTTCACAGAGCCAGTATACTCCATTCAGATGCAAATTCTAAAAATACACTAACAAACAGAAATGCAGTACCAATTACAATATATAAATATTTCTATTATTGCTATTATAAGCAACTCAAATAGTTTCTAAAATGCAGTCTCAGTTTTTGGTTGTAAGATTCAGATTCCTGTGTAATTTCTTTCCTTACTGCAAAATCCATGTACCTTTTATTCTCTGTTTCATATGGGATTAATCTCATCAGCTGGATCTGGGCAGTATTAGTGAAAATCTTTATGTCTGTGGTGGGTGAACTGCTGCCTCCTGCTGCTGCTCCTGCCAACTGTGGGACACTTTGTGAAGGGTTGGTTCTGAGGGCATGATCTAAGTCATCTGCATAAGATGTGCAGATCCCCGGTAAGTATGATCTGGTTTTCTCACTGTGAATGGGAGCTAAGGTACCAGAGGGGTGGTACCAGAGCTCCCCTTTAAATTTTCCCTTGCTTTTTCCAAGCTGTTCTCTGCCCTTTCCACATTATTGCCATCTCTTCCTTTGTATGCTGATGTAATCATGAAGATGTGTCTGGCAGTTCACTGGACCCTGCTGTTTGCCACCTCAGATACATGAGCAGGGCTGAGGTTCTCTTAAGTGACACATAGCCAGGTAGCTGGGAGACAAAAGGAAGGATTAATGGGTATCTTCTGTGTCTCCCCTTGGGAGAGAAAAAGCTGTAAGAAGATGAGCAAGCTAGTGAATGGGGCAGCCCTCCCAGAGCTTTAGTCAAGGCAGAGGTAAGTGTTTTGCAAAGATCCCACTGCTGAGTTCTGCCCTGGGGACAGGGGCTGCTCATCTCTGCATTTCCTGCCTGTCTCTCAGATTGCTCCTGTTGAAGTAAAGGAGTCTATTGCACTGACTGTCTTGCATAGTCTTTTTGGGCATTCGAGAAGCATAACCAGTTTCAGTATGAAAGCAGACTGTGCCTGAACGAGAAATCTGGATAGTCATTATTACCGTGGTCACTTACAGACCATCATTTTTATATGCTCTGAAGATAGTCCTTATTTTCGTGGTTGTTCTCAAAGGCTGTGTTGAATTTGCATGTAATACAACTGAAGTGAGCCTGGGACTGGTATTCATTCTAATACATTACACTAAAATACTTCACCTTCCCTGTCCTTTCCATGATTGAATAATTACTTTTGTGTGCTTTTTTTTTTTAGCTGCTGTCATCTCTTTATTTTTTATAGTACCAGCTTTTATTGGTTATGATATACTTGGAAAATAGTAATAGTAATCAGAGAGAAGAGGAGAAGGCTCTGGGGGGACCTCATAGCTGCCTTCCAGTATCTGAAGGGGGCCTACAAGAAGGACTTTTTTTTTTTTTTTTTAGGGACTTTTTTCAAGGGCTTTGAGTGAGAGGACAAGAGGTACTGGATCAAAATTGGAGGGGAGATTTAGGTTAGACATTAGGAGGAAATACTTCAGCGTGAGGGTGGTGAGTCACTGGAACAGGTTGCCCAGGGTTTAATTTGATTCCATAACTTCATGTCACCATTGTATTTGCTGCTTGAGGGCATGCCCTTCTGGCACATCCTAACCCCTCCCATCTCTCATTCTTAAGATTCAGGGCAAGTATATGCTACAAGGAGCAGAGAGTGGCAAAAGCAGGATCAGTAACTGGAAAAGACTTTTTTTAATATACCTTTCTGAGAGATCTCAGCCTTTTCATCTGTGAGACTGAACACTCAATGTGAATCTTGTACTTTGGAGCTCGTGCTGCTTCTTTCTTGTCATCTTCCTCTAATGAATCAAGAATGAAGGGTTGGAAAAATGGTGGTAATTCAGCAACAAAGATATCCAAGAGCTGTCAGTATGTCCATCTGTTGACCTTGGAGCTGTGTGTAGTTTTCATGTTCTGGTGTTGTGTATCCTTAACAGTGCATAGCTCTATGATATAGTTTGACCAAATGGTTCAGACTATCTGAACATGATAGCTAAGTTTTGATCTCTGGATATGGAAATCAAGATGCATACCATTAGGAAAAGGTTCTTCATTGACAGGGTGGTCAGGCACTGGAACAGGCTCCCCAGGGAAGGGGTCATGGTATCAAGTCTGGCAGGATTCAAGGAGCGTCTGGACGATGCTCTTGGTCATATGGTTTAGTTTTAGGTAGTCCTGTGAGGAGCAGGGAGTTGGACTTCATCCTTCTGGATCCAACCTGAGATACTCTATGATTTTATCATATCATTCTATACTTTCAAATATGGCAATAGTTGCAGAACTATAAACATTTGTACATTTAACACATGGCAATACCGAGTTACTACCTATTGGCCTGTTCTCACTATCTGTGTGCTAAAAGCGTATGACCTGAGAGAGTTCACGTTGCAGTTCTCCGGTGCAGGTGTGGGAGCTCCACCACAACATGAGAAAGTTTGAGAAGCAGTCAGTTAATCCTCCTCTGGCTTTTTTGCCCTTTGAGGTTTTGCAGATTCATGGATTGTTCCACAGTATCATTCCCTCACGACTGGTGGGCTATGTCTCTAGGCTTTGCTGGTCTGTTCCTGATTGGCTGGGGGTGTTGCTGTGGTGATGAAGTTTTCACTTATTCACACAGCACTCTTCACAGGCAGTGTGATATTGTATGTATTTTAATTCAAAGTTGTCTCCTGGAATAGCACACCAGTGCTGACAAGTCCACTGTTGGGAAGGTTTTAAGTGGTGTTCTGTATGTGGATTTTATATGGCACTTTTGTATTTGAAATTTCAGTGAAATCATCAGAGAGTCTGAGATACGAGGATTTCCTGACTGTGCTGAGATACCCATCCTTATCATGTGTCTTGCACAGAGATCCTACTGCAGGCAAAAGGAAGCTTGCACATGAGACCTTATAGGTGCCTGTGGCAGGGACAGAGATTTGAAGTTTCTCTCAGACCCGAACCATCATAATTGTGCAAGGAATATATTTGTGGGTGGAAGCTTTGAGACACTGAAAAGGGAATTGTATGAGAGCCAAATCAGCAAAAAAGTTTAGGAAGCTAAGACACAGCGTGCCTAGAAAACCTGTGGGAAAGGTCAAGTTGCACAATTCCAAGTTGATGAATGCAAAAAGCAGCCTATATAAGGCATTTTGGGTAAAGACTAATTTTTAGTCCATTTGCAGCCCAGAAGGCCAACTGCATCCTGGGCTGCATCAAAAGAAGCTTGGCCAGCAGGTCAAGGGAGGTGGTTCTCCTCTGTTCTTGTGACATTCAACCTGGAGAACTGTGTCCAGTTCTGGAGTCCACAATGCAGGAGAGGACATGAACCTGTTGGATAGAGTCCAGAGAAAGACCACAAATATGATCAGAGGGCTGGAGTACCTCTGCTACAAAGACAGGCTGAGGGAGTTGGGGTTGTTATGCCTGGAGAAGAGAAGGCTCCAGGGAGACCTTTGAGCGACCTTCCAGTACCTGAAGGAGCTACAGGAAAGCTGGGGAAGGACTGTTTACAAGGGCATGTAGAGATAGGAACAGGGTCAATGACCTTACGTTAAAGCAGGGTAGATTCGATTTGCTATCAGGAAGAAGTTCTTTTGAAGTTTTGTTGAAGTAGAGAAATTCAGCAAGAAATATGTATCTGCCCAGTAAATATATCCTATCCTTCCCTCCTAGAAAAGTATGCTATAACTGAAGATCCTCTTCTTCAGCTCCTTCTTCCTGTTTTTTTACTTTTTGTGTCCAGTCCTTCCATGCCTTGTTTGTACCATAACCACTACTGCCAGAAGGTAAGGTAGTAATTATTTGTCATCGTTGGTTTTTTTTAATTAATATCCCCTGCAGTGCTTGTTAATGGCATACTGGAAAATAAAAAATGAGAAGGAAAAAACACTGTGGAGTAGAGACAATGACAAAGCATGGTAACACCTGGGGTACCACTGAGATTCTATTCCAGAGCCTGTATTATCAATTAAAGGATAATGCTCATCTGTGTGCTTGACCCCACACACAGCAGTATGTGGAACGCACCTTCAGCATTCACCCTTTTGCAGTCTTCCTGGTAGCATCCTTTCCTTGTTACTGCTGTTTTCTCTGGAGTGGAATGAAATTTTACCCTGCTTAGCAGCACTGTCCGTAGTTTCAGATGAGACTCTCTTTAACATGTTGTCAGATGCTGTATTTAAATGAGTATGGGTAACACAGTTGTATAAGGGCAGTGACACTTGATTCACTCTTGTCCTAATGAAAACAAATTAAATGTATGATTATGTGAAAATAGCTGCTCTGCCTTCCTTCCCCCATCCCTTAAGTAGAACTGCTGCAGCTATTTGGAAATGTGGCTTCATTTTGTCATTAGCTGTTGCTAGGGAAAAGATGCAGGCAGAGATCTTTTAGGTCTGTGCTTTCACCACTAGCAGTAGATAAGCAATCTTCCAGAAGTCATGAACCACAGGAATTAACCATCTCTAACCAGTACTATATTGAGTTAAAGTCAGAGCTTTAACATTACCAAATCTCTTCTGTTTCAGAAATTCCCACACTGAGACTCCAGGGTATTGGGATGTTCTTACCACGGGGGGGTGATGGTTAATCTCCTTTTTCCAGAGCCTTTGAGTATCTCACAAAAGGGTCCTCTGGTCTCTTCCAGGCCCCAGAAACTGCAGGTTGAGCAGTGCAGTAGCCTTGTTTTCATTTTCTGAGCTAAAATTCTTCAGCTCACTGTATCAGGGATGGATTTACCTAAGTTTAGCAGAGGCTTAGTTTCTGTCCCTATTTTTCAAAGTGTGCATTCATTTTTTCTTTTTACTTGACATTGATTATCTAGGATGGGACTCAACACAGATCAGCTTCCTTGTGACCCTGGCAGGCTGCCACCAGGTTGTTCAGCTTCCCAGTGAAATTGTTGGTCCTTTGTCTGACTGGGTTCACCAGAGTAGTAATCTCTTGACAGAATCGAGGTGGTGACCATCAGGTAGCTGCCCTTGGTTTGCTTATCCTGAACTAAAATGTAGTGGTGGTATAAGATCCCTTACATCGAGGATGTAAATACTGTGTTAAAGTTGTCCTCTTTGGAAGTAGAAAGGCCAGTAGAAGTTTTTATCTGTCAGCTAGCAGTTTGCAGTGATGATCCCACCAAGATGCTGCTCTGGCTTTTAATTTCTTTGGAAAGCCCAGAAGTTTGTGACTGATACTCAATTACTTTCCTGATAATTTTGGATTTCCTTCAACTTCAAAGGAAGGATGAGAAATGTAAATATTTCCAGAACTGTTGCTTGCAAGAGGACTTCAGAGTTGCTGAATTCTCACTTTAAAGGCTGTAGTTTGTGTCCCCACTAACACTGGGCACTCTCGTTTGCATCCAAGTGTGAAGCTTTCTGCTTAGCTCTGGAGAGAAATCATAGTGTGTGCACAAGCTGTGTGCACAGTGTGTTCCTTATAACTGAGCATGGATACTCAGCACATTCATACCTAAGAGTAATAAAGCTGCTCACTAAACGGCTAATGTAGATGCACCTTAACTGTTCAAGTTAGGTATATTGTCCCCAGTTAATAAAATTGTGTAAGAATTTAGAAATTTGCCCTTCCTGGAGACCAAAAGCTAGAAAACAAGACTTCAAAAGGCAGTTTTCATAAGGAGGCCAAATGAAGAATATTTTGTATTTGAAGAAATCTGTGACAGTTTTCTTCTCTGGGAATAGTCAAAGCAATATTTACTTTAGTTTGGTTTTTTTCTGTTTCAATTGAAGGAATTAAATACTAAATACTTGCCCGTGTATATTATGCTTTATTTAATTTGTTTACCATGGAAAGGAATAATCAAAATACTGGATTTAGTATCTCTTAACTACTAATTATTGCTATATTCTTGCAGATATCAGGGTTATTTTGAGGGTTATTATTATTATTAGGGCAGTTATCAGGCTAAGGTTGTTACAGGAATGCATTCCTTTTATGGGCTATTACTGAACTGGTAGGACATTTAAGATCTGCTCATCAGCATCCAGTGGCAGATTCCTAGGGAAGA